ATTGAATTAAAAATTTCCCACTTTTAAAGTTCTAGTCAATTTGTCAGAGAAATGAGATTTATAGCAGAATAATAATGCATACTGGGATAAGAAGCTACAAAACTTTAATTTTATTCACATTCATTTAGGAAAATATTTCAGGAATTTATGAGGAAATTATTTCATCATTATCTTGTAATAAAGGCAAATCTTTCGGTCTGAGATCTTTTCTTTCAAATATTTTATCACTTTTCATCTTCTTCATTCATTTTAATCATCCCTTCCCATTCTCTTTTGATCTCGTATACTTTTCGCTAAGAAAAGCTGCAAAAATTAAAGGCAAGATTAGTTCTTATAAAATTTCATATATATTAGTCATGCGCGGTTTTTTTTTTTTTTTTTTTTTTTTTTTCCCAACTGGTCATTTATGCCACTGGTGATTTTCTGATGTGAAATTTTGATTTTGTTCAGTTCAGGCCTGCTGTCTTGTTTTTGAACGTGTAATAGATTAATTATGTTTACATTTTCGTGCAATGAACTCAGAATCAAACTTTTCTCAGAAAATGGCTAGCATAAGGGTACATCAATAGAATTATGCTAAAGTTATGAATTACTTAGTTCCTAATTATACATTTTTTTTTTCCACTCGATTGAACTCGATGAAAAGTAAGGAAATACGAATTGGCAAATATTTCTTAATGTGATATTATTCCAAAACAACAAAATATCTTTCTTAATCTGAAGTAATTTAACACACTCTCTACTCTACTATTAATAAAAATTTTGAATCTCACATATAATTTTATTCATAATGCTGGAAAAATTTAGTATTTTTGAAGAGTTCTCCCAGACTACAATAAGGAAATATTATTAGCTATACCCATGCTTCGATTGTTCTTAAATCAAAATCCATAAATGAATTTAAATTCCATCCCTGAACATAGCTAGCTATTCATTAATTAAATATATTGGATGCTATCCACCTAACGAGCAATATACATTTGTTGTGATTCGCTTGCTGTCTGTATATCACTGTATAATAAATAAAACTCCTCAGTATAACTTCGAACACGCATTTAAATGCATTTAAATAAATTAATATGTATGTTATTATTTAGGATGAGAAACGATAATTGTACTCAGTTTGATTCAGTTTTCTTTCCCTCTAACCTCTAATTTTCAATTCAGAAGTAATATCGTAATTTGTTTAGAGAACTATTAATTCCAAACCTATTAACTATCCACAAGAATTTGTGTTTCCGAAAATTCTCTTCCAGTATTTGATGCTCCTGAAATGTTGAAATGCAAAAACATCAAAAGAAACTTGAAATCAATAAGATTATTATTAAAGTACATGAGGAATTATGAACAGTACAATCATTACAAACAAAAACGGGAAGTATCAAGACCGTCCAACTATCCAAAATGACTGCAATCAACATGCACAAAAGAATCCTACTAAATACTGACTTGAACATTTTATCACAAGAATTCGAAATCGAACAAAATCAGAGGATCACTAAGATATACAATATATAATAAGGGATACATCTCATGTTTACACACATACCAGTCACTCAATCCTGAAAAATTCAGAAGTAATATCGATTAAGTCTTCTCCCTCTAATTTATCAAGTCGATTTCCAAAATTAATTTCTTCCAATAAATGCAATAAATAAGGAAATATCATCGGAAACTAGCTGATATAAACGTTCGCATTAAGATCACTTTGGACAATCATTATTTGTTTTGGAAATACTAAAATATGAAGATGAGATAGAAATTTTTGGGAGTAAAATTAGTACAAAAGTGAACTAAATATGCGGACAAATGTTATAACTTAATCATTCGCTAAAATTCAGAGCAATCACCAATCTCTTCATCTTATTTCTATTTCCTGTCATAGAAACATGAAATGAGTCACTTTTTCTTCATTGCTTTCATATGATTCAGTGCTGAGCCAGCCTTAAACCATTCGATTTGAGCCGCATTAAAACTGTGAGACAGCCAGATCTCCTCCTTTTTACCATCAACGTGTTTCAAGATGCATTTTAATGGCTAAAAAAAAAACGAAATCTTCAAGACTCGAAATTTTTATGGAACCATCAACAGTGTCAACTAATTTTTTAATGCGTAATCACATACGTTATGTAGGTATAATTTCACATCCTGATAAGGAACTAATATCTTAAAATAAAACAACACAAAAGTAATAGTGTTGAATAAAGAATTTACAAGAAAAGGTTGTTCTAACCTTGCCAGGTGCAAAATCATTCAAACCAACAATTGATATCTTGTCGTCTGGCTTAACTTTACTGTAATCATTTGGATCAGCAAACGCTTTTCAGAAACTGAAAACACCTGATATATTCAACATCAATTAATAAGGAATTTATTGCCTCCTATGTAAGATCCACTAAATCAAAATACTTCAGCTAATTTAAAGTAAAAAGACAACAAAATTTGAATGGAGTTTGAAACAATCATTATACGTTTTAAAGTATTATGTGACTATATTAAAAGCGGTCGATAAGGTTTCAAAAATCTTATTATTTGTGGTGAAGCAAAAGGTTCTTGATAATGCAAAAGCCAAATAAGTTAAATATTTTCTTTCCAGATTAAATTTACAGCGAACTGAAATGTAAAATACTTACCGTGAATCCGAGAAAGGTTTTTACAATAATTGCACGTCCACCGAAATGTCTAGGTTCTAAAGCTGCATGTTCACGAGATGAGCCTTCACCATAGTTTTCGTCACCCACTGCTATCCAAGCTACTCCATCCGACTTATAGTGACGTGTCGTTTGAGATGCCGTATCATACTTGCCCGTCAAATGATTGCGAACTTTATAATTAGAAATTCTTTCCCATAATCTAATAAATAAAGTCCTGAAATTGAGTGTTGTCGGTTTACAAAAATCTTTGAAGAAAAATTTAATTATCAAACCTTTTCGAACCAGTACTCAACAACTATAATTACCTTGTTCATTTCATCATTTTCCGCATTGACAGCAGTTAAGAATAGATTATTTGAAATATTATCCAAATGACCACGGAATTTCAACCAGGGTCCAGCAGCACTGATATGGTCTGTTGTACACTTTCCTTTTACCTGAATTTTAAAATACCAAGAGCGAAAATTAAATCATGAAGATAATGAAATTCTAAAATGAAAACTGGATTAATCTTCTGTGCAACTTACTTTAATTAATATTAACATATTTTCAAGATCCTTCCCATCCCAAGGATTGAATGAATGGTTTCAGAAGTTGTAAACGTTCACTATTTTCATTGACTACAACGTTGCCGTGTCCTGATGGAGCCTGATAATAGTTCACACCTGAGTCATAACCTTTTGGTGGCAAGCTATGACCGCTTGGTGCAATTTGCAACTTGAATTTGCTACCTGAAATAACATTTCCTTCAACTGCGAAATAAAAACATTTAAGCCAAAATTTGCAGAAGTACTCATCATATCAAAACTACCAAAAAACCGTAGCTTCTTCAGTGTACCGAAACCAGACACTTTCATCTTTCGAAATATCTTCTAAACCAGCAATCATTCTTTGAAGATATTAGCTTAGAAAATATTTTCTGTTGACATGTTCAGCTGAACAAAAGTGATACGTTAATGTAAAAATTTTTGAGGGAATATAGTACTGATATACCACGCTATATGTGAGTATTTGAAAATATTTGTGTCTCCTGTCGATCTCACAGCTACGTAAGCAGTCAAAATTTATAAAGTCACGTTAAAAAACTTTTAAAATCACAGATGTCTAGTAGAATGCATATTAGCAAGCATAACAGAAGCCTAATAACTAGACATAGTCCTATGTGTAGTCCAAAAATTATATAAGTGGTGAAATTGTGTCACTATTAACATTTTATTAACTTCAACAATTTCAAACAATTATAGCAGAATTTTTAATCAAAACAGAAATCAAACAGAATTAATATATATTAATAACTAACGATGAAAAGTGGTAATACATAATTACTGCAAAATGATTCAAATGAATTGGTATCACAACAATAAGAAATTGCTAATTCTGTTAATAGCAATTAAAAACAATAAATGGCTGATTAGCTTGAATCAATGCATTTTTATTCAACAACATACCTCAAAAAAAAAAAACGATTCGTTGGAAATAACCAAATGATATTCAGGCATGTAATCGAAACAAAAAGAATCTTAATACAACCATAACTTAATAATAAATAAAAAAAGGATACATAAGAACCATGGACGTGAAGATGATGGCAACCAGCGTAGTATGACGACTGACATCAGATTGGGATGTGTTAGAGAGATCGAGAATATGATCAAATGATATTCCCTGTGAAGGGCAAATGGGTTGAATGGTATACACCGAGTTTTCGTGCAAATTAAGTAAGATAAGATATTTGCATATATTCTCCGAGCGCGAGAGAGTATTACTTCAGTAGGAAATGTTTTAAATGATTCTCATAAATGATTTTTTCAACTTTTTTTTTTTCTTAAATTGGAACTGGGTTAAAAAAAAAATTGTAGGGTATTTGATGACTTAAAAAAGATGAGATTGTGCGAAATTTTCCAAAATATAATCGAGAAATTAATTTCAGGAAAAATACAATTTTTGTGCGACATGCTGAGAATCATAGCGCCGTTTATCGAATGCATCAAAAGGAAGTAAGTAGATATTTTCATATATCCCTTCAATAGGAAATATTACTTAAGTAGGAAATGTTTTTATAAATTATTTTTTCAATTTTTTTTTCTAAAATTAGAATTGCGTTAAAGAAAAATTGCAAGGTATTTGATGATTGATATAAGTAGTATTGTGATCAATTTTAATATAATTGGAACGCATAATTTGGCGTTGTTTTATCATCAATTTGCATTTGATTAATTTGATAATTTTATAGAGCGGGCTCGCGTGTCGCCCAAAATCCAGAACGTCGGACTATTTCCGACGTTCTGGTATATTTGGAACGTGAACCTGTAATGCTCCAAGCATTACAGGAATATATGCGCGAAAGGGAGCAGGTAAATTCATTTTTCTTTTTTGTCATCAATTAAGGATTATAGAAAGAGTTATACTTCTAATTTATATGAAGAGTTATAGAAAGTACTTTCTTAAAATGTGGTCTTTTCAGATTGAAGACCTGCTCCTAACCTGCTTGGAGGATACGGAGAGGAGGTCGGAGGTCGAAGGGCAGGATGGAGAAGAACCGGTGCCTCAGGAGCAGGCATTTTACGAAGAAGAGGCAGAGTGGGCCCCTCTGCCTGAAACTAATGATACTGATGAGGCCGAGAATTGGCCAACGGAAGCAGAGTGGGCTCCTCTGCCGGAAAGCGATGAAGAAACTGAGGCACCGGTGGCACCAAATGCCGTTGCAGAACCGGTCGAATCGGTTCGCGAACTCGTCCTGTAAGCTTTGATATCTGAAATAAATGTAGTAACCATGTAGTAAACAAAGTAATAACTAGAACAATTGCTAACTTTTTGTTAATTTTATCTGCTGAATAATTTAAACCAAATTTGAAACTATTTCAGAAGGACGAGGACGATTAATGTTCCGGTTCTGGCGACGCATAGATCGGTTGCGGCAACACCGGAAGAATTCCACCCCGCTGATTTAGGGGATCTTCCGGAGCAGCTCCGACGGGAGTTGCTAGTGCCGCAAGCAGAACCATACACGGTGGTTCAAGCGAATGAAGAGAGGAACATCGGTAATTTATAATTTTAATAACGTTAGAAGATGATTTTATGTTTGTAATATTTTAAAGGAATATAATCATACTTTAATCTTTTACTGACAAAATCATATTTATGAGTGAAATGTTACAATGTTCTTCTTTATGATGTTTCAAAACGGTCACAAATTTTCCACCTATATCGACGCTTTAAAAAACAGTTTATACTTCCTTACTATCTTCTAATCACTTCTATTTTCAGTGTGTGGTATCTGCGGCAGGCAGTTTGGTACATTGAAAGGGTGGCGTATTCACGCTTCGAGAATGCATAAGCAGGATGGTAAGTACTTCTAAGCAGAATTTGCAATTAGTTTTTAAAAACATTAGCATATTTGATTTATCTAAATGTTGGCGGACTAATTCATTATGAATATTTCAGGTTTTTGCGCTCGTTGTGGCCATTACCTCCTGCTGCCACCCGGATTCACGGCCGCGCAAAAGAGAGCGGCGACAGAAGTTCACGCTCTCGATTGGTGCCCGAGAGCGTGTGCGGCCGTGATCAACGAAAGGCAGGTCAAGCGCCGCAGACTTGACTTAGTGGGGAGAGAAGAGGATGCCAACCACCTCTTCATTCCAGGTGAGAAATTATTAATATCTAAGACTATTATTAATATCTATTAATATCTAAGAAATTTGAAATTGAAAAGGAAATAAAAATTCGAATGTACAGAAAACAAAACATTCAGAAAGTGGATTTCATAGTTTTTCTAACCAGCAATTTTTCTTTCAGGCCAGTGATAACATCCGGCCCTCCTCACGCGGCTGACCTGCTACTGCCTGTCCCAGCTCTCCAGTCTTCTGCCCGAAGCAGGTTAGTATTGCGCTAAAAAAAAAATGAAAAAATTTTAAAAAATAAAAAAAATCAAAAAAAAATAAAAAAAACAAAAAAATGAAAAAAAAATAAAAAAAAACAAAAAAAATCAAAAAAACTAAAAAAACAAAAAAACAAAAAAAATTGAAAAAAAAAAAAAAATTAACAAAATTAAAAAAATTAAAAAAAAATTAAAAAATAAAAAAAATTAGTGAAAAAAATTTTTTTACAATTTACAATGTAAAAACAACTGAATTCAGAGTTTGATAAGAAATTGTGAATTTTGTGAAAAAAAAAATTAGTGAAAAAATGAGCATAAAGTTCATTCATTTTAGGCTAGCACATGTTAATATTAATTGTTTGTAGTGGTATTTGAGAATCAAAAAGTTTGTGAAAAGGATTTCTTTTTCGTGGACAAAATTCGAAAATAGCTACTTTATATCAAACTTGATTGAATTCAGTTGTTGTTTTTTCTTTATCAGTTTTTTGTTGTTATTTTTGGTTCTTTTTTTTGCCCTCTCTGGGCAACTAACTTTTTTAAATGTTTATTGTTCTATTTTATTGTTTCTAATTTAACTATTATTATGAAATTTTTGATGTTTTTAATAATTTTATAGTTATTACTAATGATTTTGTTTCTTTTTTTTTTTGAAATAATCTATGGATTTTTTTTTTCCATTTTTCACATTTTACATTAATTTACCAATAATTTTTAATACTTTTTTACTACGTATGTTATCATTTTTATTTTAGTGTTATCTAATTCTTTTCTGTTAATTTTTCTGTTATTTTTTTCATTTTTCATCTAATTTATTATGCGTATTGGATACCAACTTATATTTGATTATGCGTTTCTTGTAATAAGTTTGTTGGTTATGTTTACTAATATCATGTTTGTTTATTTTGTCTTACTAGAATATTTTAATATCATATTGGATATTAGATAGTTAATAACAACATTTTACATTTAAACATATTTTTTTTTGGAATTGAGTAATTTTTGAAGCTTTTTCTTACATTTAACCTAATTTTTTGAATTATCGAATTAGAAAATAGTGGTATCATTGAATAATTTGATAATGTCTAGGTTTAATTTTTTTTGTTGAATTGCCATTTGGTATCCAATAAGTTATTTTGTGGTAGAAGAGATCGAGAGTAGGTATAGATAGAGTTATACCTACCCTCGATGTAACTTATGATTTAGTGTGTGAGGAAAATTTTGGAGCATTTGAAATTCTGAAAGAAATTTTAAATTCTTAAATCGTGAAGCTTTTTGAATTGACTTTTAAATTCTAGATATCTTTTATTACTTATTGAATAATTTTAAAATTAATAGAGTCTGAGATTTTTAAGAAATTTTGAAACTTCTCTAGGGATTTATTTTTTGTTCTCGTTGAGTTTTGAAAATTTCTGAGTTATTTAAATTTTAGTTTTTTTTTTCTGACTTTTTTAAATTTTTAAATATTTGTGGGTTTTTATAATTTTTTTCATTTCCCCAATTTTCTATTCCCTTTTCAACTTTTTAGTTTTTGAATTATCTTGAAAATTATTGAAATTAGTCTGAATAATTGACTTTTGGGAGGTTTATTTAAAGGTTGAATTATTTGTTTTAATTTTGATTTTTTTTTTTTATCTTTTATAATTTTTATTTTTTTTAATTTCCTACTGGAATTGTTTTTGAATTTTTAGATCTTTAATTCTCTAATTATAATTTTGGATTTATTATTAAAAAGCATGCCGCATTTTTTTAGTTTTAACTAGTAACATATTTTTTTATAAATTTTATTGTAGTTCTAGATGCCCCCGTTCATTTTTTATAGGTTTTGTTTTAGTTTTTTTTACCTTCTTTTCGCATTTATTCCTCACTTGCACTTAATGCATGCTTTTCGCTAACTTTTTACTGTATAATACTTTATATTTTACTAAGGTAGTGATTTACACTCGTTGTAGTTTTACTAATTGCATGCTTTTTTAGTTAATT